CAGGGACGGATTTGAATATATATATATATATCGTCACAAACAGAACTGCCCGGTAAAACCGTAGGCAGAGAGAGAGAAGAGGACAACAAACGAGGGGCTGTGACATAGGAGAGGAGAGGACTTTTGGGAAGACTGCGCAAAATTGAACAAAACTATGCACTGTCCTAGATATTCTATTTTTGAATTATTCTCATATATATAAGTGGATGAGTCAAACACGAATCGGTTTGATTTTTTTGAAATAAAAGGCTAAGTAACATAATGACCTACAAATGACCTACAAATTCTTATAGCAAAAACAACAGACTCTTTGCTTCGCACCTTTCTTTTTCCATCAATGAAATAAAAGGCTAAGTAACATAATGACCTACAAATTCTTATAGCAAAAACAACAGTTTACAGAACCGAACCTTCATTCCCCCGAATACAACGTACGGTCATTGTAGCTGTATCTAGACTGAAAGATGCCTCAAACACAGCTATAATGACCGTACATTGTATTCGGGGGAAGAAGGTAATCATGCAACTTTCTGTGATACTCAGCCATGCCCATGGGATTGAATGGTACACACACATGTATAACGGTTCACAAACAGGTCATCAGTTCAAGTCCCCTCGCACATCAGATCCGCAGAGAGATACAATAATAAACTAGTAAGGTGGGGGCTGCCTCACACATGTCTTGGATAGCGAGGCCGGTGACAGCACACAGCTGATATCAGCAGTACGCGACAGACAGCGCGCTGCAAACATGTGAACAACAACACATGAGATACGTCGAACTCGGAATTATTGAAGTTCTCCTCGAGAAGATAGGAGAAAAGTACCTAGCAATATCACCACAGCTGAGCTATGGAGTTCTGACCCCACCGCCCGTGTAGACGATGGTGAGTCTGGCATCCCTCTACCGGTTTCAGCTGGGGGCAGAATCCAGCCTAATCAGGTTCGGATTCCCCCAGTCCAAGTTACCTTCTACGAACTCGTGTACCTAGAGCCCCTGTAACCCCTGTTCCACTCCTTGTTTTGTTATCATCCGCAGTACTTTTTTTCTACCCCATTCATTACATAACGGCGCACGTCTTCGGATGAATTTCCGCAGGCAGTCCTCGAAATAGTTCCTTGGGTAATTCTGCAATCTCAGAAGTCTTTTCAGAGAGAGTAAACCCAGCCCTACGAGTTCCATTAATGATGTCATCTGGTATATTCTATGAAGGCAGAGCACGTAACGACGGCCTTTTTTCTGTGGAATAGCTGAACAGGAGTCTAAAGCTTGGATCGTTCTAAAAGTGAGCAACCCATCTCCCCAGATCTCCTTGAAATTTCTCTGGACTAGCTGAGTCGTTACTTTCTTCCCTGCTTCCACTCTCATTCTTGTTCCCAAGAATTCCCACTCCCCTTCTCCCTTGTCCGTACGTTCCAGTGTTAGTGATTGCCTTATCATAGGCAGATTCGGACCGGTTGATGATATTGATCGCTTTCTGATCATCCGCCTTCCCATCGCTCCAAACAAAAATGGGGGTTATCTGGCTACCCCCTCCCCCAACAAGAGAAAACAAAAAATCATGCAACTTCGCAACTTTCTATTTTGGATATATAATATAATAGTACCATAAAATTACATAAATAAACAAATAAATAACAGAGCGACCATGACATCAAACTTACTGTTCGGGATATCTGGGTTTATGGGCATTCCAGAAGACTTGATTTGAACACGCAATCTTCCTCTCTGCATGTAATCTCTGGAATAACACTTGTCCGGCTGCATAGGGAGGAATTCCGTACCATCCCGACCCCGACCAAGAAAAGACACAGACAAAACCAATAGACAGAGAACAGGATCGAAGGTAGTTGAGCCTTTATAAACTGGAAGGGGGGGACGCAAGGCAGATAAAATAAAAATACCTAAAAAAGAAATTTTCAGGTTTCAACAATAGGAAAGAAAAAGAGATTTTCCGTTTTTTCTTCTCTTTCCTTTTTGGCATGGCTAACGGAACTCTTGACAGCATAGCCCGCAAGACAATGCACTTCCCGTCCCGCCCCTGTTTCCATTTTTCTGCCGTGTGGACATCATTCTGTATCCTCCACACGAGCCCAGCAAGTGGATTAAACGCCAAGCCAACTTTCAAAATTGACAAAGTGGCAATTTCGGTTAGCCACGCAAAAAAGGACATTCAAAAATAGACAAACTTCCAATTTCTATTAGCCAAGCAAAAACGGAAACTCGAAATAGACAAAATTTCATTAGCCACACAGGAATGGAAATTCGAAATGTAGACAATTCCCTGAGCCAGGCAAAAACGGGAACAGAAGATCAACAGAGAACAGAGAGAAGAGAGGTTGACCAAAGGGCATAGAGAGGGGTGGAAGCGAGGGAAAGGAGGAAGGCGGGCGAGAAGCCGCCCGTGGGAGGGGAGAGAGAGAGAGAGAGAGAGAGAGAGAGAGAGAGAGAGAGAGAGAGAGAGAGAGAGAGAGAGAGAGAGAGAGAGAGAGAGAGAGA